CCGACCCCTCGGCGGGAGCGCCGCCACACTCCCAAGTGGCGCACTCTCCAGTGCGCCACCGGACCGGCCCTGCCACATTTTATATATGACTACAGTTAGGTATTTTCCTACATGACCTCAGTTTCACCAACAAAATAATTTAATGACCTGTTATGAGTTCTGAAAGATCCAATAACCTAGTGTGTAAAGTGCTTCCTATATATCAAATATTTCTCAAATAAAAGTCACATATTATTCACTAAATGACCGAGAACACTGAAACAATATCCAGTATTCTGCAGATTGAACAACTTTTATACAGAACTTGGGATCAGCAGATGCAGCCTCTCATCTCTACACAACTCAGGTGTTCATTATAACAAATAAAGATAAACGGGTTAGCAGCCAAGCCAGGGGCTCTAAAATTTCTATACTGAAGGACAGTGTTATCCTGACCCTTCCCATTGTCTGAGGCCTCCCTTTCTCAATTTTCTCTGGGATTTCCAAACACCAGATATCATTGTTTCTTTTGTTTCTTCAACTTATCTCTATGTTCAAGGGTAAAAAAAGCCTCTTAATTGTTCTGATTTCTACACTTCAAAAATTTCCCCAGGGCCTTAAATTTACTCTATTTCCCATACTCCTTCACCTAAATACACAGCCAAAACTAAGGAAATAAAACTCCCTATGCATTGCCTTCCAGTTATCAAATTTGAACAAAGGTTGATTACACAGAGGAAAAAGTCATGACTGGGGACAAGGGTAATAACTGAGAATTTTAGTTTTGCTTTTTATAAGTTTTTCAAAAAGCACAAATATATTCTATCAAAACTTTTAGAAGTTTAAAATAAGAAAAATGAATAAATAATTGCTCATTGTCTTCTCTGGTCTAACTCCCTTTGCTTTCCCTTCAATGCTGTACAGCCCTCCCCCCAGCACCTGTAACACTGAATTGACCAAGCTCATCTGGTGAACATCTGCCTTCCTACTGGGCTGTAACTTTCTGTTCTCACTTATCTTCATCACTCGCATTCACTACAATCCTAAGCCCATTTCTGACAATAACATGGTTAATGAGTGAATTCTTTGGCCATGAGCTCAACACATTTCACATCTCTTCTGTGAATACACAGCATTAGTAGAGGCTGAATACCTTAGTAAAATCTTGGAAGATTACTTCTTGAATATCCCTTAATCCAACATGACCATTCCAAAACCCCGGGTAATCTTAACTGGAGCCGAGGTCCTTGACCTACTCCTGTGTGCACTTAGAACATCCATGCTAATAGGAAAACCTGCCCATATGCTGGCAACAGAGATGGATATACTTTCAGTACAAAGAGAAATTCCCTACTCACCTGTGATTGCATTATCACTAGCACAGCCACTGGGTTTTCACTCACACAGTCCAAGCGCTAAGGTGGCAAATCTGAGAAAGAAGAAAGAAACCATGGGACTCCAGTCTTGTCCGATTTGTAACTTAAAAATAGCCCCAGCCCAACAAATAAGGACATGCAGTATACTCTAAGAAATAGGAGAGGGTTTCCCTCTTCCAGGGTCGAAAGTAAGAAGACTATGACAACTGATGCTAATAAAAATGAGATAAATACCTTGATTTTAGAGATAAAAATGTGAAAGTCACTGAGTTTTATATGCTGAGTATTATTAGTCCATGGTATTTTGAAATTTTCAAAACCCTCCATAATTCTAAATAATAGGGATCCCCAGCTCATGCCACATGTCAATTTTGGTCTCCACTATCAGGAAAACATAGAATTTCTCAGATTTAATTATTCCTGGTTTATGCACTAGTAGTCACTGGCCAACATCATTCCAACCTCTCTGGAGCCTCACCCTATTCCACCTCTTTCCTACCCCTGGCCCTCAGGATACACTTGTCCTGAATCACTGTCTCCTCCACATGGGGTTTCCAGCAATATCACTCCCCCAACCCTGACTTTTATTCTGCATGGATTCATTTATCATCCAAGCAACATCAGATTACATTTTATAATCAATTCAGTGACACATCTTACAAGAAATGCTTCAAGTTGAAACAAAAGGACACTAACAACATGAAAGTATACACGATATTGTGATTTGTAATGAGAAATATACAGTTTGTTTTTCATCCCCAGTCCTGGCACAGAGCATATAAAACCCTTGTAATTTCCTCAGCAATGAGGGTGCTAGGAGTATCTTTTGTCCTATTTGGTCTTTGACCCTTCCTGGCACAAAGCTCCTAATCATTTGGAATTTCCTGGGTGATAGGAGTGTCTTTTGTTCTGATGAGACTACTCTTGTTGGGCTCCAAAAATAGGGGCTGGTCACTTGAAAGATCAAGCCATGATTTGAAGCTCAGAACTTTCAGCACCCCCACACTCATCTTCCAGGAAGGGGAGGGGGCTGGAGACTGGGTTAATAAATGACTATGCCTATGTGATAAAGCCTCTATAAAAATCCT